TGTAACACATTTTAATGGAGCTTTTCACTTGAAAATGGCCCATTCACATTTTGGCTGCACATTCCAGTTATTTATTAGTGACCTTTGGTTCTTTACTCTAGTTTCAAGTGTCTGTCTCATAAAAAGGCAGATCTCTATGGAAGGGAGACTGAAAGAGCTGGTCTATGCATTCCTGGTGGTGGGTGCTGGGCTCACTGGTAAAGATACGTGGATGTTCCCCAAATTCCGTGAAGTCTCTGGTGTCAGAGCCTCAATTTAGCACATGCAGGAAGGGAATAGAAATATTTTACCATTTGCCTTACTAGTCCCAAAAGATAAAGCGAGTTAACATGTGATAGTGTGAAGTGGTCTGTAATGTAGGTTATTATTACTTTCTCTGGAAGCTTACTCTACGTTCCATTAAATTCTTCCCATTCCTAGCCCTGCTCAAACCATAATTCCTATACGGAAGACTCTCAAGCCATATGGTGACACTTGATGTGCCTGTTTGTTAATTAGCCCATCAATGACTTGATAGATTCTTTGTTATTTTCTTCTATTAGCTTAATAGTTTTATGTTTCATATGTAGGTCTTTTCCCATCCATTTGATGTTTATTTTTAAAGTCATGTGAGGTAGATATTTTCATATAATGAGCTAAATATCCTAACATCATTTGGTAAATAATCTCATTTCTGCATTGATTTGTGGTGTCACTAATCTCATATCCTGTATATCATCTCTCTGTCCCATTTGTCCTTTTGTCTGTCCATATGTAAATATCATTTTGTTTTAAAATACTGTTTCAATGTCTTTGTAATGTTTTAAGATCTGGTAGGTATAGTTTCCCCTCTCTGCTCTCCATTTTCTATTATTTCATGTAAATTTTGTGTGAAATATTAGTGACTCTTACTCTTTCATATACATTTCACAATTAATTTTTCAATTCAACAACAACAAATCCTTTTAGACTTTCAGTGGAAATGTACTGAAACCTATAGGTCAACTTTGAAAGAATCAATATCTTTGCAAAATTATGACATCCTGTCCACTAACACACCTTTTCCTGTAGTCAGTCACTTTAATAGAGTTAATTTTTTTCTCTACAAAATTTTTGTGCATTCTGTGTTAGGGTAATTTCTAGATACTTTATCTATTTTGCTGTTAACTATAAACAAATTTTTTTTTTCTGTTCTGTTTGCTAACTTTTATTTCTGGGTAGAGAAACCTTATTGATTTGTGCAGGCAGATACTGGATGAAGCAGGCTTAATGAACTTCCAGTTAGGTTTTATAGTTTGCTGATCTCTTTGGTATTTCTGTGTAAATTACTACAACATCTGCATCAATGACAATTTTGTCTTGTCTTTTCTTTCATGATGACTATATCTCTTCTTTCTTTCTCTGCTTTTGTTGTTGTTGTTGTTTGTTTGTTTTGCATGGTTGGGACCTTGAAAACTATGTGGAATGTGTTTGACAGTGACAAGGACTCATGGTATGAGACTCTCTTTCCTCCTCTCTCATCCCTCTTTCTCTATCTTTCCCCCACTATCTCTGTCTCTGTTTCTATCTCTAATCTCTCTGTCTCCTTTGTCTTTATCTCCAATGCATGATTTTTATTTAAATCTTAAAGCTCAAACAATAGTAAAATGATGATTTGGATATTCTTTATTTCGTAATATCTTTTATATCTTACACTTTAAATCGCTTGTTCACATATATAATTTCATCATGTTAAGGATTAGTATGATGGAGAGCAATTCTTACTCTTTGAATTCAGGAATTTAATCCCTTGAAAAAGCTTCTTGCTTTTAAATGTGAAGAATTTTCAAAGGCGATTCAAATATACATATGCATATTGAGAGGTGTTAAAAAACTGACTAGATAACAAAATTCTCAGCAGGATAATCTGTTAGAAAAGCCTTAAAAGACTCCCAGAGGCCGCAATTCTTAACATAAACTACTGTGTAAATTGGGGCAGTTCAAAGCATGGTGTTTTCTGGGAAGCATCTGAACCTAGCTGACCACTTTCTGGTTGGCCACTCCAGGTGGACTATGCGGTCTGTCTGGTTGGAACTTTGCCCTGGCCTGTGAGGAAAGCAGAACAGCTACTGGTATCCCCATTCTATGAAAAAGGAAATTTAACAACATGGTGGGGGTAGAATCTGAATCCAAATCTTCTGGATTATATCCAGATACGCCCCCAATAACCCTAGGTTTCTTCCACAGATTTGACCGTACTGCTATTTGCAATGACGGAAAAATAAAAAACAAAGCTTTTGTGAAAGTGTCACTCGCCGTTCCTCTCTTTAAAGAAAAGGTTGACATGATGAAATGTCAGGCTATTATAGCACTGTGCCACTCTGTTTTTGTTGGTGAGTAATGCAATACAATTCTCCCTTATTTTACGGTGTGTGTTTCTTAAAGAAACCTGAAAGAAATTTAATTTGACAGTTTAATAATCCTTTGGGATAATTAGAAACATCTTGAAGTCTATAAAACCAGCATGTGGGACTCTTTACTCAGCTTATAGTTCGCAGTCTTCCTGCTGCAGTTGGAAAGGGGGTCGTGCTTGGGACTCTGAGGGCACAGGATTGTTCTCTGTGTTTCCAAAGATGCACAGCTGGAGGAGCTGATTGGAAGCCATGTTTTAAGTTACAAAGGGTCCGTGCAGTAGGTCTGAGTGGTCCCAGCCCCTCGCTCCCGGGACAAGTATCAGCAACACCATTATTTACTTTCTCGTTAAGTTAAAATACATTTTTCTGCATCTTGGCACATTACCTCAGATCTTCTACAGTACAAAAGAAGTGCTTTTAGTCCCAGGTCAGGAAGAAATAAACCAAGGCTCAGAAAGACTAAGAAGCCGAGCTCGGTTTCAAGAATCAGAGGTTTTCTTAAGTGACTGTGCTTCCTCTCAACGTACCTTTACTTGGCTTCCTGCTCTTTGGAACTCAGATCAGCCTGGCCAGGTTTAATCCTTGTTCTTGTATGGAAAACAGAAAATTCTTCAGATTATTATAAACAATGTGTGATCCATTCTCCCTTGTGAGTGAGTGTGTGGTCTGCTCTCAGGGGGGCCCTTTAAATGTTTCTGGTGATACACCAAAGAGCCTGCCTGCTTCCTTTCCAAAACTGGTTATGGGATTCTGATGGACGTTGGGGCCACCAGGTGTGTGCCTACGATTGGAAGCTGAGAACAGACTCTGTCGAACTGGAGAGTGGACTTGGTCTCATCTAATGCCAAGCTAGTGTCCCAGTGAGCCCCTTCTTTCCTTACGATTGCATAGTTGGGGGAAGCAGAGCTTTCAATCTTCAGTGTCTGGGATTTTGTTTTTCTGTTGTGTTGCTCAAAGATAAAGAAGGCACAAGAATGCAAAAGAGAAGGCGGCTCGTTGAATTTTACACAATTGGATATGAAGTTACACTGTAACAGTTACAAGTGTTTCTGGCCATAGACTCATTTTACTTCGTCAACACGGTGGCTTTTGGTTTTGATCTTATTGCTTTAATTTCAACGCTTTTAAGAGAAAATGCATTTCCCATGACTCCCGTCCTCTTAATCTAATATGATTTTCAACTCTGGCTCCTGAAGGCACTGAGTTCACCTGGAGCTAATAGTGACCTCCCCTATCCCTGACATTTTTGTGATTTTATGGTATTAGAAAGGACAAGAGAGTTGATAAGGGAGAGTGACGTAAAGGAATGGGGGGATGGTTAGAAGGGAAAGTGTTATCCCTGAATCAGGTCAGCTTTGTGAAAATATTCAGGTATGCTCGAGGCATGAGACAGCTGCTTGGTGAGTGGCAGATCAAGATGACTCCTAGCTGTTTTTCTGTAACAGTGAAGTTGCTGAGCTGTTAGGTCCTAAAGACTGTGGACAAAGCAAAAATCGTACATAGTTGCAAAGGGCAACCTGGAAAGCCGGGTCTCCGGTCTCAGGGAGTCTATCACTTTGTTCTGCAACATGAAACAAGATTGCTGTGTCTTCATCCTGCAGCAGATGAAAAAGAAGACATGCAGCACAAGAGTTACGTTACACCGAAAGTTTTTTAACACTAGAATCACATGAGTGAGATTTTGAGCTTTTAAAAAACATGAACACTTATGGTAACTTAAAAAAAAATCAACCAGCAATGAAGACACCTCCTCTGCTCCCTCTTTAAAAATTCTAATCTTGTGTTATTAGAAGCCTTTATGCTTGTTTATGCATAGCGAATTTCTAAAAGAATACATCAAAAGGCTTGTTTCCAGCCAGGAAAAATTGGTATGTAAATGGCTGAGCAGTGAGGCAATCGTGAAATTATTACTCATTTTGACTCATCATGTTTTTATTTATTTTACCAAAAGCATGTTATCCATTTACAAATGGAAGAAAAATGTAAGGAAGCTTCATTGCTTTCACATTCTTTCCTCTTTGATTATTTATTCTTTGGTTTGCCATACTTTAAAAGAGTTGTCACATATACATTTGAAAAATATTTTCTTTAAATTTATTGCAAATTGTTCATTATTATTAGATAGCGTATAATCTAATTCAAGCGTTAGATCATTTCTGGATGTCCCTTTGTCATGATCTTTGTCATGATCTTTCAGAGGAAAATATAATCATTGTTTGCAATTTAGACTCCAAACTGTTTCCAGCTTAACCTTAATTAATCTAATTAAGTGAACTTGAATTTAATTAATAATTGCCCAAACAAATAGATCTGTACTGGCCTTTGCTAGCAACACTGCAACACACCTGGAATCAAATGGTCTGGTTATGGAGGGCGATGACTTTGGTCTCTGGAATGCTGGGTTCAGAGTCTATGACTATCCAAAGTGACAGTAAAACAAAGGTGAGCAGAATTGTGTTAAATCACCTGGATGTCATGCCCAAATTGGCAGCCACTCATCTGTTTTATATATGTGTCTGTGAAGTGACACCATGTCCTCATGCTTATGTTCCTTGTTGACAAGAGGTGATTTTATCTGTGTGTATATTTTCTTGTGAACAGTCTGTACCTTACACATTGTTGTTGCAGCACTGTCATCATACCTGCTGCAGGACACTAGGTGGAGCGCAGAACAGACAACACAGAAAAGAGGAAACCACCCTGCCTGTCAGAGCCTGCGGTTTCCAAGATAAATACACAGAAGTATCTGTCTGAACATAGTGTTACAGGTAAACACTAAATAAACATCAAGGATTGCTCCTAGCCTTCCTGCTAAAATCCTTCACAGAGAAGATGTGGAAAGGTGAGAAAACGTGTATCTATTAAACACATTCTTATATAGCAAACATGTAACGGCCAAAGCAGACTTGGAAAGGTCACATGTAAGCTACGAGTGAAGTCTAAGTAGTAATAATTCAAGTGTTACTTTTGGTGATTAGCTGACAGTTTTCATGCAGTGTGAGAAAAACATTTAACCAGTTTCTCAAATTGGACTTAATTTGGATGAGTGTGTTTTTCTTAAGAAGCGTTGTGCTGATTACAACCAGGTTAAGTTTTACAGCATTAAGCTGCTAATACAAGGCTGGAGGCATATGGGGTAGGATTTCAGGAGCTTTTTGATGGATGAGATGAGAAATTTCTTATCAGGATGAGGGAGAGCTTGCGTCCTGCCTCGCCAAGTACATTGATTGATTATCTATCGGCTGATTTATTACATCTTGGGGATAGTGAAGAAGTTGGTGGGTGGCTTTGGTCCTAGAGGCCGTTGCTGCAGCTGTGAAAAGCACTTCAATAAGTTGAGTCAATTACATTACAATACAAACTACATTAAATGTGCCTTCCTTTGGATTCATCCTTTTTCTTCCTCCATTCCCAGCAACTCATGAAGCTCCATTGATTTTGGGCCTTCAAAATATCCTATCTTTTTCCTGCCACCACCAGGGTGATGACTGTCAGAAGTCTTCTCAATGGCATTATTATTATTATTATTATTATTATTATTATTATTATTATTATTAGTTCCAAAGTTCTCCCCACACTCCCCACAACTCTTGGCAAGAGTCACTAGAACATGCCTTTTGGTCACTTCACTTTCCTCATGGAAAACTTCCAAATGCTTCTCTTTACTACCTAGTGAAATCTGAACTTCTCCACAAGGCTTCCAAGAACATCAATCACAAGGTCCACGTCCCGTCCAAAACGACTTCTCGCTGCTTTTCAATATCTTTTTCTCCAAAAATCTACTTAAGATAAGGGGAAACTGAGAAAGGTAGTTCTCAGGTAGAAAGTGGAGAAAGAAGAAATTAATTAGCATTCTTTGAATTCCAGTTCCTTCTGACCTTGTGTCATAGATACCAGTGAAAAAATAGGCATTGGGTACATTTTTTCCCCCTAAAGAAACTGAAGTTAGAAGTTTGCCCAAGTTGCTACCTGCCTGATGCTAGAGGGCAAATGAGTAGAGCTGAGATTCTGACCTCGGTCTGCCTGAGACCTTCTCTTTTTCCAATGCCCCATTCATTGTGCTTATACAGGCTGCCTCTTCCCTTGTACAGGCCCCCTTTGTAGCCAGTAGCTGGAATGCCCTTCTTTCTGCCTCATCTTCAAGATTCAATTCCCAAGATGGTCTACCTGGACCCTCCAGATCTTCCTAAGCGTCTCTGTCCTAAACTACCTGAAAACTCAGTCCTTTTCCCTAAACCCCAAATTGGGTAAGATGTCCCTCCTCTGTGTTCCCGTATCATCCTGTTTTTATCACACCACACATTTTTTAATATTTTTATTGATATATAACAAACATATGGAAAAGTTTCCATGTCATAAGTGTTTAGCTTGATGAAATATCAAAAAGCAAAGCGAAGGGGAGATTATAGCTCAGTGGTAGAGGTGCATGCTTAGTATGTACAAGGTCCAGGGTTCAATCCCCAGCACCTCCAGTTAAAAAAAAAAAAAGCAAAACCACTTCCTGAAACCACCAACAAGATCGAGAAATTGTGAGCACCCAGAAGACCACCCCCGTCAAGTGCCCTCTTGATCATTATCTCCACCCTCCCCTCCCCAAAGGCAATCATGTCCTGACTCCTATAAAAGCTTTATTTTGTTTGCCTTCTTTCAAATTTTATATAAATCAAATTATACAGTTTGGTTTCCATGTTTGTGAGACTGATTCCCTGTTGCTATATGTAGCCATTATTCATTTGTTTTCATTATAATATGGTATTCCATTATATTTATTCATTTTATCTGTTATATGTATTCATTTTGCTCTTGGTGGACATTTTGAATTGTTCCCGTTTAGGGGGCTAAAATAAATAGTACTACTATAAACATTATTGCAAAAATTTTATTAAATATATATACATTCTTTGGGGTGTATACCATGGAGCAGAACTACTGGGTCATTAGTTATAAATCTGTCTATCTTTGTTAAGTAGTAAGTGCCAGTTTTCTAAAATTGTGGTACAGTTCACCCTCCTACTGCAATGCATACTTCCAGCTGCTCCTCATCTTCATCAACAACTGTTAATGTCTACATTATAACTGCAAATTCTTTCTCCCTCCCCTCACCCCCTTCTCTTCTCTCTTTGCCTAGCATGACACTTAGAAGGTATCTTAATAAGAGGCTAGTGAGATAATAAGTGAATGACTAACAAGCACACAGTGTTTGCTTCTGTATTCTTGCTGTCACCTGTTAGGTGGCAATATTATGCAGAATAGCGTATTGGTTACAAGCATGGGCTTTGGGGCTAGACTGCCATGATTTAACTTCTAACCTCACCACATTCCAGCAAATTACCTTTCTGTGCTGGTTTCTTCACTTTTGACATTATAAGTTTATTCTGAAGATTAGGTAAGTTTTGTCTGAAATGCGTAGACCAATGCCTGATGTCTAGTAGGAGCTCTGTACTAGTCACTATTAGCGTTATCTCACCCTCAGGGCCTGCATCCTGTTAGACTCTCCAGAAGCAGAACTGGTTGGTAAGAGTCTTTGGCATCCCCCTGTAAAGTCTATTCGAGGCAGCCAAACCCACAGCGAGCCTCTGGGCTTCTGAGGTTCCCTTTACCCATAATTTACCACCTGCTTTGTACCATGAATGTGTGCCATGTCTCCCCAAGTAGATGGCAAATTCCCTAAAGAGTAGTATTTGACTTATCTCCATGGTAGCAGTGGTTTCAGAGTCCCATTTCAACTTGTGCAAATCTTAGCTGACTGCGTTCCTCCAGACCACATTTGAGCAGCTCCACAGATGAAGAAGTATGGACAAGGGAATTGTCCCTTTGACCAACCATCCTGCTCAAATGAAGTTTCAAATGCTGCCAGGGATGTGCTCCACACCCCTAGATAAAAGATACCTCTGCACCTATGCTATTTGATGTCATAGTGTTTAGTAAATATTTGCCTTTTTTTTTAATTGACCCTTGTTCTTTCTGGACTTCCGTGTTCTCATCTTGTTCACTTCCCACCCACTTGTGTTTGACCTAAGCTCTTCCCATTTTCGTGTCAACACCTGGGATGCCTCTGGCTCATCAGCTCTCCACAATGTAAATCAGATCGTACCTACTAGATTGGCTAAAGCCGTAAACCAAATTTCCACCCATAAAAAATTAAAAAGCTTTGTGATCTGTGACTAGCCCCTCTGAGTGATCTATAATTAGATGAGAGTCCCAGCTGCAAGACCTGTGTTCAGATAAAAATGTGATTTAAGCACTTGCTGTTCAAGGAGGAATTCGTCACTGTTACTGATCATGAGAACGAGGGGGAAACATGCAGAAAGCCTCCCTGTCAGGGCTAGCCTCCGCCTTTACTAGGAAAGTACAGACTCTGGATTTTCTTTGTCACTCTTGTTGGTTTTGCTTTTGGGTTTGGTAGTGGATTTAATACGCAGCTAATCGCTGTAGGGGTAGAGCAGTAACTGAAATGCAGAGCTTGATCTGGGGCTCATGTTCAGCAAGAAATCATTGACTTGAGGGAGAAGGACTAAGCAATCTCCAAACACCTGTTGAACCAGTCTTAGAAGCCTTGATGGGGAGGTGAGATCTAAGAGCCATGATAAATGGAGGAATGATCACTACTTTCCCCGGGGAAATCTTTGTGCAAACTGAGAGGTCAGGGTAGAGAGAGTGCAGCTGGCTTAGAGGTTAAAGCAGCAGCAAGACCAAACACTGGAGGAGCCGGTGTGTGCTAGAAATTAGTTAAAGGCTTAGAAAAGTAAAAAAGTCCAAACAACTTGGATGCAAAATAATGATCTCTTAATATGCCCTCTGTTACAAGAAATTTTCCAGTGGGACCCAGAGTCAGGTGGGCCCATGCAGTGCTGGGTACATACCAGCTCAAGAGGCTTCTGGTTCAAACCAGAGATGTGTGCCTTCAGGATCCTTCTTTAAGCTGACATTGGACCCAGCTCTGGTTACTCTCAGAAACCAGGAGTCCTGCCAGCTTAGTGTTTTTGGAGCAAAGCCATTTATGAAAAACATCCTCACCTTCTTCAGGAGCATTCTCCTATACCTGCAGATTATCTTGATGTCCATTTCAACAAGCTGCTTTTTTAAAAAAAAATCTGCCTTGGGGGAGGGTATAGCTCAGTGGTAGAGTGCATGCCTAGTATGCATGAGGTCCTGGGTTCAATCCCAGTGCCGCCAGTAAAAAATAAATAAACCTAATTACCTCCCTGCTTCCACCAAAAAAAAAAAAAAAAACTAACTAAAAATAAAAAGTCTGCCTTTCTCATCAGACTCTGTAAGGACAGAGATTTGCCCATGGCTGTCCTTGTGAGACAGGTAAATTGACAATGGTTTGTTCGGATGGATTTATGGATGACGATGACGTCATAAAATGCTGCTAGAAGCCCCGAAGTGTAAACTGGCTCTAAGACCACCCTATTCTCTCCTGAGTCAGAAGCTGATGCTATTGGAGGAAGGAAGCCCACTGAGCTGGAACTGGCAACAGCCATTTCTCTGGGTTTAAGTTTCAAGTGAGTCTACTATTTCCCCCCTTAACTGAAATAGACAAAAATAACACACTAACACAATTTATGTAAATATTTTTCAAGGTTTTATTGCAAACCAAAGTTGGTTTATCACACACAAAAAAAGGTGTGTGGTGGTGGAGGGGGGAA